GCCCGGGGCCCGGCTCGCCGCGCCGGCGGGGCGGGCTGGGCTTGCTCGGGCACTCCAGGGAGGCTCTCCGCTCCGGCCGGCGGGTCCTGAGGCGGTTCCTAGCACCGCTCCCTCCTGCGTGGCGCAGGGCTTCTCCCGGGGGATGAAGTATTAGAAGGAAAAGCTTCGGGGTCTCCGCGGTCGGAGCTGCTCCCGGCGGAGCTGCGCCTTTTCGTTACTGGCGGGCTGTGTAGCAGCAAGCGGGCGTAAAGCTTTCCGTGCTTCTTCGCGTCTCTTCTGCCGGGCATAGGTGTTCGGGGACAGGCGTGACACGCGGCGGTTTGCCCTAGGTGTGCGTGGCGTTTTACAGACGCGTTTGCAAGTTTGGCAATCTGCAGATAACGAAGTTTGTTTGTGGAGCGGTTTGGTTGGCTCCCATCCTACCCTCCAGCTATGTCTGAGAAACGAAAAAGATGTGAGAGCTTAAATCTGGTAATCATATTACCCAGAAACTTGGTGGTGGAAACTTACGGCATCCTGAGGGTCAGGCAGTTGGCGTGGGTGTGATGTGTTCTTCTCCTACCCCTGTAGTTCAGGGCCTGATCCTGGAGTCTTGTAAGTACAAATTCTAGTTATGTATTTCCAGGAGCATTCACATGGGCAAGAGCTGCGGGATTGTGTTCAGGATTACTATAGTCTGTTGAATTCCAAATGAACTCTGGCTCTCCTCTCAATACAGAAGGACTCCTTATGCTGTTTTCCATAGTCACTTTAATGCAAAACCAAGTGTGAAGCATGACCATTATGATTTATTGGAATTTTAGATAAGCAAAAAAGGGTGTCTGAAATACATGCAAGACAGAGAGAATCAGGTCCGGAGCCTGAAGGCAGGAATGTGTCCCACTGGTTCTGAGTAAAATGCAAAAAAGGAGAAAGGATCGTAGTGGCTGAGAAATACCAGCTCTTTGCACTTGCACAGGGATATTCAGTATGTGGGAAGCCTCCTGAGAGAGCACCACATGAAATCATTGAGAGTTAAAATATTGGAAGCTTAATGTATAGATTTCATGTGTTTCTGCTTCTCAGCTTTGTGGTGAGGGACACAAGGAGGAGGGAAGAAATCCTGTCTAAAAAAAATTGCTGTCAGTCAGGTTTTTTGATAGACATTCATTTAAAAAAATTACTTAAACTGTATGGAGTCAAGGACAAATACAAATAAATTGTATGTATCTGACAGAGTAATTAATCTTTTCAAAGAATGATGCTAGCAGAGTGGCTTAGGGGGCACAATTGCACTAGGAAGAGCTTTTCAAGCAAATGTAACCATTCTTGTAATACGAGTGGAAGCTGACTGCAAGATAATTTCAGAGGTCTGCTTTTGTTTTAATGTAATCTAGATAATTTGTCTAAAGTGGTGTTTGGGGGGGGATTTCTGCATTTCCCTCCAAACTTTTCAAAAAGTTAAACTAATTTCTAGGTAGCGCGCACAAGAATATAGTCAAGGACACAAGGAGACTTCCTTATTATTATCTAACTTCAATAATAGGCTAAATATACTTCAGCTATGTCACAGGCTTGTTCCAAGGATCATCTAGAGAAGAACAGCAGCAGTTTGTGCCTGTAAACGTTTGTGCTTGTGAAATGATAGCATGGTCTAAATAACTTAAAAAGAGAAAAAGCCCTTAAGTTTATCATTATATAAACTTATTCTCATGAATTTATTCTCATCCCCACTTGGGACTCCTGCTTCAGTGTCAAAATGATCTTCCATAATCATGCACATGTAGAAAGGGAATGTTGAATAAGATTAGCAACATAAATCTCTGCTGCTTCATAAGTTTTACCCAGCTGCTTGGTGATTTCACAGCTGTTTCTGCAGTTGATAACAATTTCCATCGCTCTGCTTTCTGCAGAGTTGTCACACTGCTCTGCCTGCAGATTCTGCCTTGTCTTTATTTGAGTTATGAATCTTATTTTAAAAAATCCAATAACAGAAATGAATAGTAAATATAATGGACTTATGTTTATTACAGTGAGTTTTTGGACTCAGTTTGCCTTTTTTTCTGAGAGACATTTTCAGATTATATTACTTAGGTTTTGTTATAGTAGAATAGATTTTAAAGGGTTTTTTAGTGGGAAGCTTGTTGTCACTGTCAGTTTACAGCTGGGAAAACCAAGGCACAGGGAGATGAAGTGATTTGCTCAAAGAAACTGGAGACATAGAGGAGGCAAAACCCCAAGTATTCTGAGTTGTGATTCACATAGGCAAAGTGGGCGATAGAAACGAAGTTAAATGAGATTTTTAACTATAGAAATTTGTGTGCATTACCTTTTCCTACCTAGCTCTTTCTGGGGGACTTGCCTGGGTTGTGACGCTTATCATCAAGACATCGCATCATCAAAGGAAAATGTTACATAGGGCCAGAAATGGGTGGCTGCTGCCAAGAAAAGAGGCAGAAACCACTAGGAGAGCCAGAGGGAGAACATCTCCTGCTTCGGTTAGGTTAGGAGCAGGAGTCAGCATACAGCGGCAGCTTTTCCATGCAGGAGTTTTTTTTCTTAAGAAGTTGATAAATATCCAACAACTTTTCTTGTAGGAAACTTCCATGCTAGAATATTGCCACCTCCAATTCATCATTCAGCAACATCTGACACTTCAAAGCCTGGAGCGGCTCTTACTGCTGCATGACTCTGCCTTGAACTGACATATGAGACATCTTAAGCAGTCTTCCTTGGCTTCCTGAGCTAAAGGATTTTTTACGATGGATTTCTCATGGACCTGGTAGGTGTGCATGCTGTTGGATCTCATGGCTTTTCAGTAAATCTCAGCTTACGCTTATTAGTGGGCAAAACATTCCTCTCCCCTTTATCCAGTGTTAGCCACAGATTGCCGCAGAAACACATTCTTCCTCCAAGTCAAAGTAGCTCCTTAAGACAGTACTTCTAGTATGATTAGTGAGAGGATGCTGGTGTTGCTGGGTATCTTTGCCTAAATTTCTTGCTCTGAAACTTGAACCAAGTCACCTGTTGGCATAAGTCAGAAGTGACTTTGCTGGCACTGAGGATCTAGTGCCCTATTTTCTAGGGCTGAATACCTTTACTCACACTTCAAATAGGTTCTGTTGTTTATTTAACTTACAGTATTTCAATAGAGGTTTGTTTATTTGTTTTATATGAATGCTTGTCTGCTTACATCCTATTACAGGCAAGAACTGTGCTCCTCAGAAATCAACAGGTATTTTGCCATTGACTTAATTTTGGTGGTTTAGGAGGTTTTTTTTAAATTCATGTTAGTTTTGACTGTATAAATATATCTTCTTCGTAAATCTCTGTACAAGACATCTAAGAGATGTAATGCTCATTGGGGATGTATCTGAAGCAGAGGGACAAGGACTGTAGAGACAGGAGTAAATATACTTTGATTGGATGTTAAAGTTTTTCAGCATAATCATGTTTATTATGAGCCCAATCCAAAACTTTTTCAAGTTATTGGGAAGTTTGCCTGTTTCTGTGACTGTTAGAAGAGAGTATATGGACTTTTGAATAGTTACTACAATGTATTTGGAACTAAGAGACCTTTTATATGGAAACCAGTTAATTTTTTTTCCCCCCACAAATTTAATAATAAAATGTTGAACAAATTGAATATGTTTAATGGTAAGATCAAAAAAAGGTGACATTTGGGGACCACATTCTCCCATTGTGCTGAACTTCTGTAACATTTTATGCATAAGTAATGCAGCAACATAATGACACCAGTGTGAGTCTCACTGCCATGTAAGTCATTACAGAAAATGCAGAACTTGGGCTCAGATCCATGTGGGGACAGATCCATGTGGGGACAGATCGATGGCGCTCTAGAGCAACCTCATGGCTTTCCTGGGCTCTTTCAACTGATATAAAAGGTGCTTAATCATGTGTTACGATTCGAAGTACAAAGCAACAGAACCTAGGAGAACCGAGGATATCTAAGGCGTCAGCATAAATATATTTGCTTTGTCCGATAAGCACTGATCAGATCCTCTTCCTGCCCTTGGAGATACCAGGTACCTTCACAGAAACACACAGAATCACAGAATGCTTGTGGTCGGAAGGGACCTCTGGAGGTATCTGGTCCACCCCCCATCCTGCTCGAGCAGGGTCACCTAAAGAAGTTTGCCCAGGACTGGCCAGATGGCTTTTGAATATCTCCAAGGATGGAGACTTCACAGCCTCCCTGGGCAACCTGTTCCAGCGCTCAGTCACCCTCACAGTAAAAAAGTGTTTTCCTGATGTTCAGACAGAACCTCCTGTGTTTCAGTTTGTGCCCTTTGCCTCTTGTGCTGTCAGTGTGCGTGCTCAGTGTGTGCTCGGTTGTATTGTGCTCAGTGTTGTCATTAGGGAGGGAAAGGCTACTCTGTCTTGTAGCTGCTGAGCCCCTTGCAGGATTGACCCCTGAAGGTAGCTGTGTACAGCAAGATACAATATTGAGCTGAGCACTCTTCCTTAGAGAAGTAGAACAAAAGCTTTGTCAAACCAGATCTGAACTTTCCTTCTCTCATTAGGGTTCAAGGAAACTCAAACACAAACTCTCTGACTAGATACAGGGTATAGCCTGTTTGTGCGTGTGTTTAAAAATAGTGAAGTCCTCTTTCTTGCAAAACACGCAGTCAGTTATATGAGGTACCGAGATACAAAACCAAGGGCTCTCCACAATGGATGAATATATCTTAGCAACAAGGGTGGGAGTGGTGGGAAAGGAAAAGGAGAATACAAGTATCTGGCAATTAACTTCCTAGTCACAGATGTGAAGGTGATAAAAGTGATAAAAGCATTACTGCATTGCCAACACTCTTCCTTGTTCTCTGAGCTGCGTATCATGCTGCTCATAAGAGCAAAAGCTACACAGCCCGTACTGGAGAGTGGTGCAGGAGTCCTGTGAGCTACTTGCAGGAGGAAAACCTAGTGGTTCCCGTGTCCCAGGCTCTGTTGTATGTGGTGGGGTGCACTGAGCGCACAGCCTGGTCCAAGGCAGCACAGCCGTCAGAGGCTCATCGCAGTCTCTGGGGCGGCCCCCACACCACCAGAGTCCCAGTGAGATGGCCGAGGTCTGTCACGGCAGCCTGTAGTGGTGGAAAGCCACGGGCTCGGCTTGCCCTGATCGGGTGGACTCCAGTTAAGCACTGGGTTCCATGGAGCCAAAGGCTATTTTGTCTCATAATGTGGAAGCAATCAAACTGTGCATGCTGTCTGTAGGACTGAGAGTGTGTATACAATATGGAGACAGGAGGACAGCAACTTACTGTAACTGAGATGAGTGAATATGACTGCAAATCTCCCTCCCACACAGTAACATGGATGTGGGTCATGGACTTATAAGGGACCCATTACTTTTGCATTAAGCCGATTTAAATGGCAAGCTGACAGTCTGGCATTGATGTTGCTGTAACGGTAGGTTCACCAGCTTTCAGCTGGTGTTTGCTGAGTGCAGGGAATTGTCTTCATCCCCATTCCCCCCACATCCGTACCTAGTCATGACCATTTGGATTTTTTTGCAAAGTAGCACTTGCACTGAGAAAGGGTTCACTGTTCAGTCCTGGTTTTTGCTGAGCCAGTTCTTGCCTATGTTATTGTGATGTGCATTGGAGCAAATCTGTGTAATGTGTGTGTATAGGTGTATATATGAAGAAACAGTGTGAGAAAGTGCATGAGCAAGAGTAGAATTTTTAACCAAAACAGCCCGTGAACTTCACCCCCTCATCAAAAGATGTAATGCCATTGAAATCTAAATTACATCCAGAAATACTGACTTTAGGATGTAACTTAAACTGGGATTTGGCCCACAACACTTTAAGGTTGGTGTCTGTCTTAGTCTGTGACACTGTTCTTTCTAGCTCTTAGGCACCTGCTGATGACTACTATAAGATTTGATTCAGATCCTCCACAATCGGCAGTGTTACAAATAAGCTTGTGCGCAAATCCTTGTGGGGTCAGAGTGTCTGCTTGTTTGCAATCCTGAGTGGGATACTTCTGTGTCACCCATTTGTCACGTAACGGTAATGCTTCTTAGTTGAACTCATGCTCTTCTCTCCACAGTGCAATGCGTGCTCAGCAGAGCCTGCTGTAGCCTGAGAATTGACGAAGTCAAGACAATCAAGATGACAAACGAACCTATTAAAGAGATCCTGGGTGCTCCAAAGCATCCTGGTTCTGTAACCGTGGAGAAGAGTAATAACAATGACTGTGTGATAACCACCATCCCTCTTGTCAGTGAATGCCAGCTGACTGCAGCAACAGGGGGAGCAGAACTCTCCTGTTATCGCTGTACCATTCCCTTCGGTGTGGTTATCCTCATAGCCGGCATTGTGGTTACTGCTGTGGCGTACAGCTTCAATTCCCATGGATCAATCATCTCAGTGTTTGGATTAGTCCTCTTGTCATCAGGACTCCTTTTGCTGGCTTCTAGTGCAGTGTGCTGGAAAATCAGGCAGCAAAACAAGAAAGCAAAGAGGCGGGAGAGCCAGACAGCACTTGTGGCAAATCAGCGAACCTTGTTTGGTTAAAGACAACCAAGAGAAGGCTGGACAGAAGACAGAACCTTTGTAAGTCAACTTGACTATTTATCAATACGAGAGAATGCAGTTTTTAATTTAACTTTGGAAATGAACTGAAATGAAAATGGAATGGATTGAGAAATATGCTTTAAAACTCTGCAAGTGCTCTTAATATTTTTCTTACTGCAGACTTGGTAGTGATTCTTTCCAAGACGGAGGAAAAAACAGTTTTCCTTCACAGAAAAGTGTCGTCATAACTGCAATCATCATAACTGCATTCTCCAACATGCTGATTGTGTTGGAAAGTGAACTTGTGAGAACTAAGAAAATAATTTGAACTGACTTGAAATGCCAGAGATCTCCTTAAGATACACACTGTGACATTTGACCAAGGGAGAAGTCATAGCATTTGAAGTGACTACAATCTTACGGCCAGATTGTCTGTGACTTAAATTGTAGCTCAAAAGAATAAAAAAAAGGCAGTAACAACCAAACACACTGCAGATTGCTCAATAAGCTGATTCATATATTTTATGTAACTTTCCCCTCCCAATATCTGTGGTACTTTCCCCCTTTTTTAAACCAACTAATATTAATATTGTTTTACTATTGAATAGAAATAGGTAGAAATGTGTAATTATATTGTCTAACCTAAATAACGAGGTATGATTATATCTTAAAACATGAGACTTTTTTTGTAAATTAATGTGGTCAGGTTTAGCACTTTTGATTATTTTGCTATAAAATTAAAAAGTAAATTTCATTAAAATAATATTCAGTGCTGCTAGACCTTTAGAAAATCTTTTTTTATTGCCATCAAGATAGCTTGTATCTTCAACTTTGACTGCTTTATGATTCTATTTTTGTAGAACAACATCTGTGACAATAACTGTGAACATATGTACTGCTGATCTCTTCCAAAAATCTCTGTAGACTATGGATTTTGATTTGACAGCCCACCCCTCTTGTAGCTTGATTAACAGGTCAGTTATTGAAAAATCGTAACAGTCAGTTCTGCAGACACTGGCATAGCCAGTTTTAGACCAACTATTAATAATTACTTGTGGAAGCAAAGTCATCTGTGTGGTAAATGTTTGTTGAATGAGCTTTGCATTTATGAACCTTCACAAAAAGCGGGTGCCAGGTGTCCCCTGTGTGCGTCTGAGACGTTTGATTCTGTAACTCTTGTGTTCTAGAGGTATTCCAGCTTTTCTCAGGTAATGAATAATTGAGGGGCTGGTCCCAAATTGAAATTGAAGCAAACCAGAACATTATTTCTTCATCTATGTCTTGAAGGACAAGTGGTGCTGAGCCAAGTCACAGACTTCCACCCCAGCATGTATGAGGGTGTCAGAAGGCAGAGAGGCTGCATGGAGTCCCCTTTCTTTTTTTTTCTTTCTTCTTTTTTTTTTTTTTTTTTAATCTTCCCTTACTTTTCCAGACTCAAAGGAGCTGGATGTGATTTTTGCTTTCCACTGCTACAGCGAGCGAGGCCTCGCTAGCGTGCCTCCTCTTTGCCCTCCAGAACCTCTGGCATCCACAACGGCTGTGGCGATGCCGCTGCAGAGCACACCTGCTGAACAGGTGCCGCAGGAGATAGCCTTCTGCAGGTCATCCCGGAGCCGTACGCTTCTCTTTCTGAAATCACCCAGGCATTCTGGCTTAGGTGCCGCCTTTTCCTCTGCCCTCCGTGGTTTAAGCTTGTTACATCCATAACTTATCCCCGGATTTGCAAAGTGCACTTCGTGTTTTAAATAGAGCAAGCTATATGTATGGGAGGGGATGTTTGGAGTCAGTATTTGCGTTGCCACACTCCGTGGTTACCAGACGCTATAATAAAATCACTTGCATCAGAGGAAAGCTGACAACACATTTTAGCACTTCCATAGCCCTAACTTAATCACGGCAGGAAGCTTTCCTGCTGCTAGGAGAACATGTTGCGTCACCAGAACATCTGACACCGGTGTCTAATGTCAATCACTTTGCTTAAGGTCATTAAAAATATTAGGGTGTCCCCTTACGATGTACAGGTTTTGCATGAGTGACAATTCATGGGAAATGCATAGCATGATAAATAATGGAACAGGTGGACTAAAGTGGTGTCTTTCCTGTTTAAAATGAGAAAAGTGATTGACATTAGCAAAACTGGATAAGCTAAATAGGGCTGTTTATTTTTTTTCCCCCTGGGAACACAATAGTTTTTTCTGACTCCTCCTTCCCCCTCCCCATTTCTTTTTCCTCAGTGGAATTTTGCGGGCTGCCGAGAAGAGAATTGCAGGGGCTGTAGAGATGCAGTGATTTCCGCTAGACAAGTGTAACAGCTCAGCCCCATGATTCCCAGGCTGAGCCCAAAGCAGAAGCAGCCTGTTGCCCTCTTCAGAAGTCTTTCTCATACATGGGTCGTCCCTTCGCCATTGCTGTGATACAGGCGAACTTGCGTTGCGGTGTGTGGAAGGAAAGTAGAGATGCAAGGTGAGGCTCTGCTCCAAGTCAAAAGAAAAGGCCAAACTCAGTGGAATGGAGGCAATGGGTTCTGGGGAGCAGTTTTTTCAGGAAAGGTAAATTAACAGTGAGTACGAGTCACTCTGCTACTACTAGAGGAGATTTCCTTTCCCTTGTCTCTGCTCTCTTTTATATTTGCCCTGCTTATACAAAGACACAGCAGAGTGCCTGCACCGCCCTCTGCCTTGCTAGTTGTGGGGCATCTAGGCATTAAGCAGCATGTGAGCAGTGACAGACAGCATTGCAATGACCCTAGGCATGATCCCCTAGCATAGCAAAGCTTCAGATGCAGCATGGTGTCCTGTAATATCAGCTAACTGACAGGTTGAGAGGCCTCTAGGTAATATGGGGCTGCTGTCGCACACACTGCTGAGCTCAGTAGCATCAACTGTATCCTACTGAGAGAAGGTACATGCACAAGCATTTTCGTGTTGAGCAGTGAGTGAAAGCCTGTGCAGGAATTCACTCTTGTTTGTCCTTTATTCAGAGAAGCAAAATAGTAACTTTATGGGGAAGAAGCCCAGCACCTGGTCCTGGTGTCCTGCAGGAACAAGGCAGAGGTTGTGAACAGCTTGGTCAGAGACCTCATGCTGCTGAAGATATTTTCACATTTCATCACTAAATTGCCATGTGGCCTTAGAAACTGGCACAGACTTCTCCACCATCATTTGTGTGCATTGATTTTGGGACAATCTGAAGTAGTAGTAGCATCTTTTCTGAATGAGCAGTGATAATGTCCAACACAAGTCTCACAGTCTATGTTTTTTCTTCCTGCAAATCTACATATTACAGACATTTTCATTACTATCCCTCTCTCTCCTTGTCCTTGTTCCAACACAGAAACAATACATTCTTTTTAGCCCTTAAAACCCAATCATTCTGGGAGACGTGCTACATGAGTACAGTGTGGTAGGCTTAGCACCTTCATTTTTCCAGAAACTGGTGGTATTGTTAGATCTGAAATATTTTTTACAAGGACACACTTACAATGCTTTTACAAGGGTCAGCTCCCTCAGACTGGTCAGCTACAAACAGCAAAATTTCTGCTTCAGCTTTTGAACTCCATGACCTAACCTGGACTGATTTGGGGTTTTGAGCCTGGATGCTTGGTCATGTGGTCCACCGAGTCTTTGATACAAAGCCATTTGGAACTCCACAGTTGCTGTTTCTCATGGGAACCTGAGAGGCAAAAGTCATCCTGGAGGATGCAACCCTGTGGAGATCACAATGACTTTGCAGTTCAGAAACACCTTCCCTTCTGGTGTGAAAAGGCTTTGAATGCGACAAATGGCATTTAGGTTCTGGGAGAGGTTGGGTGGGAGCTGATGCAAATTTTATTGTCACAATTGCTTGTCTCTCCCTTCCTGAAAGCTCTGGCAGCATTGCGCAAGCAAAATTGCCCTCACAAGGATAGAAAATTATCTAATAGGGGAATTGCGCTGGTGTACTGGGCAAATGTTACGGGGATCTTAAATAATAATTTCAAAACCTAACCACAGGAAATTGTGTCTGTAACTACACCCTGTATTGCTATTGTACACAAAGCCAGTTATAGCCCGGGACAGTATTTTAAAATAATAATCAGTTTGGTATGACAATGCTTAGTATTTGTTCAAGTCAAAACGCCCAATTTACGATTCCCCAGTCACTTAACTTGTCATGTTTTGTACGTGACTGTGGTTCTAATACCATAATTTGCCAGGTTTAAAAAAAAAAGGAGAGAGAAAGGTTAGTTTTGTGGAGTTGTGTCAAGAATTAATTTCTCTGCCTTGGACGCTTGGGAGAGCTCCTGTTACCAAACAATGAATGTACAGTATTACTGCAGGTCTACAGAACATGAACCAGGCTCAGAGAACGGAACGAAGAAAGGCCTGAGAATTTCATCAGGATCCAGAAGGGTCAGGCCAGGAGCAAGCCCTCTGGAATATCCTGTATACTTGCCTCAGCTTTCCTTATCCAGAGTCGAAGTCCAGGGCTACTGCTCCTTTAATACCTGAGATGGAGGTTATTGCATATTATTAGTAGGTTTCGCTTAATTTGTTTGTACAATGGGCTCCAAAATAAGAAGATAGGTAACCATCATTTTGCATACATATTTCCAATACCTCTGATGCCTTTAGATTGTAGGACATCTTAGCTATATCGGTATAAATCTTTGTCAATTACAAAGGGCTTTTATACATAAAAGTACATTAACATATCAGGAATTGCACTGTATGATGTGAAAAATTATATATATCCTGGCAAAACTCTTATGTGTAGACTAAATCTTACAGGCTAAACCATATGGGAGAACAATGGTCTTAAACTGCAGAATCAACTTGAATTTTTGGCTTTTATTCAGGTTGTTGATGTCACTATTAACATGACAGAGGACCTAATCCTTCCTCTTGTGAGTAGCCAGTTGGAGTCCTATTGTCCTAACTCATGCATCCAAAAATTTGCATTTGTGGCAAACATGGCATTTTTGAAAAACACTTTTTGGATTGATTGCTTTCACTTCTTAACTCTTCTGTGCTTTCTAGAGTAAGAGAAAAAAAGTATTAAACTTTAAAAACAGAGAGGAAAAGAGGAAAGAGAAGAACACACAACAGCAAATGTTGGACACTACCTAAAGTCAGGAGGGATAGTAGAGCTTTACACAAGTGCCTTATTGGAAGGCAGAGACCTTTAAAAATATGTAAGTCTTGTTACTGATACATCCTTGGCTGTACCCTCAGTTTCATTCTTATAAAATGCCTGAAGTCCCCAGGTTAACATCAGTCTTAGATCTCACCTAATATTTCTTCTCCTTTTCTGTTTCCCAGGAATTAGTTAGCTCAGGAAAAGGCGGATGTTTAGTTTCTTACCATCTTTTGCAATCTGATTGAAATTAAAAAGGCCATTTGGGATTTGCAGAGGCAGCGCCCCCATGGTTTTGTAAGTTATAAGGTATTTAGCCACAGTCTGCTCTT